TCATCACCTGTCCAATACAGTCCCAACAGTGCAGCATGGTGGTGGCAGCATCATGCTATGGGGGTGTTTTTCAGCTGCAGGGACAGGACGACTGGTTGCAATCGAGGGAAGGGTGAATGCGGCCAAGTACAGGGATATCCTGGACGAAAACCTTCTCTAGAGTGCTCAGGACCTCAGACTGGGCCGAAGGTTCACCTTCCAACATGACGATGACCCTAAGCACACAGCTAAAATAACGAAGGAGTGGCTTCACAACAACTCCGTGACTGTTCTTGAATGGCCCCGCCAGAGCCCTGACTTAAACCCAATTGAGCATCTCTGGAGAGACCTGAAAATGGCTGTCCACCCACGTTTACCATCCAACCTGACAGAACTGGAGAGGATCTGCAAGGAGGAATGGCAGAGGATCCCCAAATGCAGGTGTGAAAAACTTGTTGCATCATTCCCAAAAAGACTCATGGCTGTATTAGCTCAAAAGGGTGCTTCTACTAAATACTGAGCAAAGGGTCTGAATACTTATGACCATGTGATATTTCAGTTTTTCTTTTTTAATAAATCTGCAAAAATGTCAAATTCTGTGTTTTTCTGTCAATATGGGGTGCTGTGTGTACATTAATGAGGAAAAAAAAGAATGAACTTAAATGATTTTAGCATATGGCTGCAATATAACAAAGAGTGAAAAATGTAAGGGGGTCTGAATACTTTTCGTACCCACTGTAGCTAAATCAAGCTACACTTCTGGTTAGACTTTGAGTTTATAGCCTTAAGGAGAATTCAGGAATCTTTTGTTGGCTTAGGCCTTCATGAAAATATCTACAAATATCATTTTAAGAGTTTAAAGATAGTTTAAATGTATGGATAATACTTGTTTAAAATTTTTGTTTTTTCCCCCCATAGTATAATTAAAGCTGTCTAACAGTTATATTTATCACAGCATAGTAAGCCTTTTCTTTACTCTTGATGTGCACTGTTTATTAAACAAGGCTAATAATTAAAGTGGTATTGTTGTCCATGAGTGGTCGTACTCCATTGGCGAGGTCTCCCTGCCTAATGAATTAAAGTAAAAAATAAATGTAATAAATAAAAAAGAAAAAGACAAGTTTTATGCTGGAGGAGGATATTCACATCCTGGACAATAATAAAGCCATCTATTACAGCTTATAAACCCTTAATAGATTGTACATTATCAGACGGTTGTAGCATACCGGTTCGGTATCAACATGGACTAGTCCAGTCTGTTGCTCCTCCCCTGGAAAAAGAGACCCCGCCCCGCCCAGTCTCTTACAGCGCTTAATTACAAATAGCCTATTATTCAGACCGACAGCAAATCAAAGGTGACTCTGAGAGGTGCGCTTTACATTCACATCACATTTAGTGGTATTTGTGTTGGACGAAGAACCTGGGTGATCTGAGCAAAAATGTCTGTAAGTGAAAATCTATCTACTCTATATATATATATTAGACTTGTAAAATAGGAATCATTTACACAAAGTTGCTTTAATTGTTATTAATTGGTAAAGTTAACATTATATGGACGCAGGATGAGGAAGAACTAATAAGTAGTTCATATATGAGGAATGAGTACAGTGTGAATATGCCTACATATGTGAATAAATCATTATCTGTATTCACTACTAGGATACAGCTATCAGGAGTGATGCTAGGGCTTGTCTGGACATGTCTTGAGTAACTGATCTAACTAGCAATTCATCCATCCGACTATAGGGGGCATTAACCAAAACATGAAACAAAACAATTATTCAATGAATAAATGGAATAAAAGAAAATAAAACAAAACATTAAAAATGATACGTTGTAATCGTGCCATGATTTCCCCACCAGCTGGCTAAAGATCTGATGTACCCTGGCTTGGCAGAGGAGAGGAGAAGACACAAGAAGAAGAGACTGGTGCAGAGCCCAAACTCTTACTTCATGGATGTTAAATGCACAGGTAAGGACTGTGGGTCTCTATTGCAGCAAACATCCAATAGCCCTCACTAAATACATTTTTAGATTAACTGTATTTTTGAATATTCTCAGGCTGCTACAGGATCACCACCATCTTCAGCCATGCCCAGACAGTGGTGCCTTGTTCTGGCTGCTCTTTAATTCTCTGCCAGCCACGAGGAGGGAAATGCAGACTAACTGCTGGTAAGAAAAATGTTAAATGTAATTACTGTCGATTCCCCCCCGATTAGTGGCTAAGTAAACACTTTGCAATTTTAACCTATATTTTGAGTCCAGATCATTCAACTTTTTTTTTTTTTTTTGTTCCATCTAGGTTGCGCCTTCAGGCGGAAATATTCCTGAGCAGAAATGTGACAAAACCTCCACAAGAGGCAGTAAAATTGACCATGGATAAAAGAGTCTGAGCCTCAGCACTCCATGATTTAAATTGTAGTCGTTTTCACCACCCAGAACATGATATCCTTTGTATCTCAATCTTGTTAACGTGGGGTGAAATTTAATTTGCCCTATGGGTTTTAATGAACCAGAGCAAGATGGAGCTATGGGAGACTGAGGATCTTATACATGCAGATATTCCAATATGATTGTATGTATATTAGTTAGATCTGTGAGGCACTTAATGTAGACAGCTTTTGCGCTACTCCTATTACATGAGTAAAACATGTTTGGTAATAAATAAAAGTCAAACGAGTCATGATTTCTGTAAAACATTTATTAGGTTGACATAGAGTTGGGTGGTAAATGAAACAGTTCCAAATGGTCTCAATCAGATGTGAGGTGCTTTTCATGGCCCTGGCATGAGATGAAACCATGATGACCATCACAAACAAAAATAAAACATAAAAAAAAAAACATATTGTCTGTGTTATATGTGTTCTTTGGTCTTGAGAGTTCCCCTGGCAAAAAGAAGTGGCATAAATGGGAAAAAAGGCTTAACAACATCTCACATAGCTAACATTATTCTATTATATACACTAATATCCATGGTTGATAAAACATGACTTGAGTTTCCAGTGATTTGGGGTTTAATACAATATATTGGCTACATTATGGCACATTGCTGGCAATGATGCAGAAGGTGTCAATGGTCAGGCCAAATTTAAGGAAGGGTGGTACAAGTAAGATATGCACATCGTGTGCTACATACTGTGCATGCACAGCTCTCAGGTTAGCACAAATTCCCACACCAAAACAGAGTAGAAGAAAAGTGATGCACTGTAAATATTCTGTGCATCTCTAATATAAGCCGCAGAGCAGGCCTTACTTTTTTTTATTAAATGTAAGGAAGCCTAGACTTTACTGAGCAGCATGTGCCTCGAGTTTATGAATGAAAACCTTCCATTTAACCATCTTGCTGTATGAACACAAACATGTTCAGGGGTCAATGCTAACACACCGAGTAGTTTGAGTGTCTGTTACATTGTAGGTAGTAGCATGATCAGAAAAACAAACTTCATATTACCACTAGGTGGCACTTCTGAGCCACTAATGTAGACTGAGTGAAATCAATTTTCATCTGTTAAAATAATCAGACAGAAGCTCAATGTGTTGTATGTCCATATAAAATAAACTGAAACAAACTGAGTGGAAGTGGTTGAATGACCAAATCTGATGTTTCTTTGTATTAATTGCCAGTTCTTTCTAAATAAGTGGTCAAAATTGCATTTCTGGAAAGAATTTCTGCAATTCAAGATTTAAAAAAAAGCAATAGGTCCCATCTTAACAAAAAAAAAAAGTTGTGCCTTAGAAAAAAATATCAAGGGACAAGTATTAAGTTAATCCCCCTTTTATGTGGGGGATAAAGATTTTACAGCTCGAAATGTGGAATGGAGTCAAACATTTAATGGAATGTTACATGACGATCTCATCCTCTCCAGCTTCCTCTCTGTGTGTTTATAAGTTGTTGAGGTCCAGCAGGGTCTGGTCCAGGACTTTGTGTATGTTCAGATTCTCCTGTTTGGCATTTGATAATTTCTCTGGAGAGGGAAAGAAAGTGACATGGTGAACCCTTTACCACTGGCAAATAACAACGCCAGTGTAAAGTCATGCTAATTCATTCTCCTTTATAAGTGTGACCTTTGACTGCACAGAGCACTGTTTAAATGGACAGATGATTTGCATAGCTACTTTGGTTAAGTTGTGCCACATGCAAAAACACACCGTGGTGCCTTTCATGCACAAACTGTTGGCTTTTGTTCTCTGCCAGAAAGACTGCAGTTAGATTACAGTATATGGAATTCTTAGAGGACCTTTGTGAACACTGTGGAGTTATTTGTTGTATTAGATTCTACCATGTTTAAATGGTGTTGATATTAGTACATAATTTATGGATACACATAAATATAGGAAGTTTAAGAGCAGGGTTTTTAATGGGTAATCAGGGATTGGAAACTGCATTAATTCACACCAAAATCAGAGTAAATCTCACCTTGTTTCAGAGTTTGCAGAGATCTAAGTATCACTTGGTGATAATTTGATGTACATTAACAACCAGTTGTACAAGAACAAACTGTTAGTTATCTAATTGCAAAAACAACAGAGTGTATGAAAATGTCCATATGTAGCTGAGATTATGCATAAATGTTGTACTACTATACACAGTGCGTATGAATAATTAAGAACAGAAAGACAAAAGTTGCAAGGTAGGAAAGAAAAAGGGTTTTAATTCATTATTTTTTTGCATAGTAAGATGAGCAGAAGGCATTTATGACCCACAGGGAGAAGATGTTCAAAAATTCAGTTGGCCAGAAAAAAAGCAAGTAAGAGGCAGAGAGAAACAGAGATGTCCAAGCATCTACAGAGATGTCATGTCATTGAGGGCATGATCCAGCTCCTCACTAATGGCCTTGTACTTCAGCTTCTGAGCATACAATTCATCTGGAGGTCAGAGGTCAACAGGACGTACAGGCAGGTGCCAAGGACAGCAGCGACACAAATAAGCCAAAAGCAGCACAAGAATGAGAGACAGATGGAGGCAAAGAGCAGAGGGAGGAAAGAGAAGACAAAAAGATAGGTCAGCCTTTTTAAAGATGCAGAAATGCTCGGAAGAAAGAACAATGCTTGCAGCTCTTTTCTGTTGAGCTTTGAGCATTTCAGCTTGCTCTGAATGTCTCAAAACTACTCCAATAACTATAAATTCAGCTACCAACAGCTCAATAAATTTATAATTACAACCTGAACACAATCTGTCCTCTGCACAACATGGCTGACATGCTGTAGTTGTTCTTCAGAAACAAGGGTATTTGTTTAAGCCTGTCTTATATATGGAGTTTCCATACATTTGGCAGGGAATTCTCTGGAAAATAAAACCAGTGTTGCTGAAATAGGACACTCCTTTTGGGATCCATGTCAAACTAAACTGCGGGATTGTGCATGTGTGCATTAAGACTTCTAACCTGCAGGAATCTCTGCTGCCTTTGGTTCAACAGCAAACATATCTAATAATTTACTGACACTGAATGTGGGCCAAGATGACTGGTGTTTAAAATTCAGTGTCTTACCAGTCATGTTACTGACAGATGGAGTATTTGTCTGCATTTCATGTTGAAAAAGTTATGTTTTGATGCAAACAACATGTCTCATACCTTCCAGGTCATCAATGGACTTTTCCAGTTTGGTCACTGATCTCTCTGCAAACTCTGCACGGGTTTCAGCCTGACAGGAACACAGACACAGTATGTCAGAACGTAACTAACAAGTCTTGGTCAGTGAATACAACATGCAATATATTAAGCTGCTAAGATGAATAATAACCATCAAAAAAATCATCAAACCAATCTGCAGTGTGTGATGAAAACTTGGCTTGACAGTAGTTGATTACTTTCAGGCATTTCTGTCTTTTGTAATTACGCATACAGTAGAGGAAGGTGGGAAACACGGGGGATGACGTGGAACGAGGAGGTTACACTGTGTCAAGTTAAAATACCTACAAAAAATGCTGAAATATCGTGTCAGAGTTAGCTTGTGGTGAAGTCTTCCCTACTGCTGGGGGATCACCAGAGTCATGATCTCACCTCCTTCAGTTTGTCAGTCAGAACTTTGATCTCCTCCTCAAACTTGTCTTCTTTTTCTGAGTACTGTTAACAAAGACAGACGAGTAATATTACTTTTGATGAGTGGCAGAAATACAAATACATATTCACACACAGTCTTATATGTAAATTCTAATGTGAACACACACCAGCAATCAGTCAAGGATTATTAGTGCACCAGGAGCTATGGCACCACTCCCTTTGATACGTATGTGTGATATGTAAGGTAGTGGCACGAAAGAGGCGAGGTGTTAGACTTGGCCTGGGAACAGGTTATTGCTGTTGCTGTGATAAAACACAGCAGGCCTGACTGAACAAAGCAACGGGAACAGTCATGTGGTAAGCTAGGCATGCTGTCAGGCATGTGCTGCAGGTCTCTACTGGCTGCTAGTTCATGTCTGAAACACCTCAAGCAGCCATTAACCCTGCACATAAAACAGCCTCAGCAACTAATTTGGCATGTCCTGAGCAAACATATACTCAAACAGCTACAAATCAAAGCAGTTTGGGTCCTGTATTCAGGTTTTCATCTAAACAGCCCGAGAGGAAAATAATCAGTTGTATTGTTAGTAGGACCTGATTATACACAATTATAAAGGAGGAGGTCACTTTAGTCATGTGGTATCCCTCCCTCCTCACTTAAACTGCTGTCCGGTGAGCCAGTGGAACAGCCAAAATGATAGGACACCGTCAAGTGGAGATGAGTATGTGCTGGCCAGTCCCGGTGTTCAGCATACATATGCTGCTGAATATATTTACATCAGGGTGGTGCTTGTGAAACGGAACAAAATGAGCTTTGTAAACTTTCAGTCAGCTTAAAACAATATTAGCTACAGTAATATGATCAGGAAATGATGCAATGTCAGCAAATGCATCCCAACATTGTAAATATGTGGTTTTCTCACAGTTGTGGTCAGCCTAAGTGTCAACATCAACTCATTTGTTCCTAAAAAAAAAAAAAAACAAAGCTTGCTACTGTCTCCTGCATTTATGTGTAGAGAAACTCCCTAACATGGCACTTTGGGAGACTAAAAAAAGAAGTATTAAATCTAAATGTGTAAATGTATTTGGGCTAGGTGGTCCATATCACATCTCACCTTCTCAGACTGGGCTTCTAGCGACTTCAGGTTGTTGGTGACATTTTTCAGCTCCTCCTCCAAGTCACTGGCTTTACTGTGGAGAGAAACACGGTCATAAGTTTGACTTAAGAGTGGACAGGTGAGGGCATTTCTGTGGTCGAGTTGTTTGTTGGTTTTACCATTCTGCGACCTCGGCCCTTTCCTCGGCTCTCTCCAGCTCTCCCTCCAGGATCACCAGCTTACGAGCCACCTAGGAAAGAAAACATTCAGCTTTTATAGAGAAATGTTTGGACTTGAAGCACAAAAAAAAATCCCAAAGGCACAAAGTTAATTATTAAAGATTGTCATTATTCTTGCTGCGAACTGCCAAAGTCTCACCTCCTCATATTTACGGTCGGCCTCCTCGGCAATGTGTTTGGCCTCTTTCAGCTGCATCTCCTGAATCTCCATCTTCTCCTCGTCCTTCATTGCTCGGTTCTCAATCACCTTCATCCCTCTGATTGGCCAGAACACAGAGAGTGTTAGAGATCAGTTATTCAAAACATACACAAGATTATTTATTCTGTGAAAGCCAGATGTCGCAGTAAATTAGCTAAAACAGATGGTCTTACTCACACATAGAAAACTGCAATTAAAGAAATTCCAATCCACCCCTGCAAGATATTAAATGAAGGCAGTTAGAAGATTTATCCTGACCTCTCACTCTCATCTGCAGCCTTCTCAGCCTCCTCCAGTTTCTGCAGTGCTGTGGCCAGTCTCTCCTGGGCTCGGTCCAACTCCTCCTCCACCAGCTGGATCCTACGGTTCAGGCCTGCTACATCACCCTCCGCCTGAGATGGGAAAAAAAGAGGGGAGCAGACTACCTTTAGTTATTCATTCATCCATTCAACTTTATATCATCCAAGCTGCTTTTCCCATCCCCCCTTTCTCAACCATATAACAGGAAGAGAAGTAAAAGGCACAGGGAGGGCAATCTATGGCTGGAGAAAAAAGATCTGAATTAGGGGCAGGTGATTAGAAAAGATGAACAATGACCTATAGATTGGTTTTAATTGTTTACACAGTACACAACTGAAGTGTGTGCAAAAATCAATGTGGTAATGTTTTAACAATAATGAAGAGATGAAATAAATAGTTGTAGGTAGTTTAAAAAGGTTTAAATTCTTGTCTTGTAGTCTCAGTTTTTTCTTACAGCTAAGGTCTCTGCAGGAGTATGTCAGAAGAAAAATGACAAATCATAGAGCAGTTTTTGTCTATAAAATAAATGGTTTTATACTTGTATAGCGCTTTTCTACGCTTTACAGCACACTCAAAGCGCTTTCACACTATTCACCCATTTGCACTCACACAACACTCACATTCACACACCAGTGTTATCACCGGGAGTAACAGTGGACACAAGCAGCAATGTGAAAGACAGCTTCATACCTCTGTTAAAAAATGACCATGGGGCCATGACTACATGGAGATGTGCCTTATCACTCAGTGCTCGTACATAAAACTCAGGCTAATTCTTGGCCACACTAACCCTGAAATCACAAAGAGGTCAGACTGCGAGTGAATTAAAATATATTGAATTCCATCTGCAGTCTATTCTTAGTATGCGCTCTGGGGTTGGTCATGTTTTACAAATCAATACTTTGCTCTAGCTGATTAATAATAAGTGAAACAGAGACATCTGGAGATCTCTTGAGGATCTTCTATGGAAGCAGCCTGTAATAACAAACAGTCTGATGAAACACGAGTGCTCACTAATCCTTTTTACAATGTGAAGATTGCAGGACTTTAGATATGAATGATTTGTAAAAACTTCTGACCACTGTGAATGAAGAACTGAAGACAGTAGGGAGGATAAATGGGCTTCTTCTCATCGGCCCTTGGTAAACAAGGACAGAGAGAAGGAAAAAGAAAGCAAACTGTCATCTATACATACATTTCCTCTCTGTTGGCCAGCAAGTTTCTCCAACCACCACCTCCTGGTGAGTCACATTCAAACTGAAAACCAACCCAGCCGAGTCTTATTACAAGGAAAAGAGAATGTCCGGTGTTAAAATGCAAGTTTACAACCAGACAGCACTAACTGCTACAATGCTGACCTACTCCCTCAAACCGAGGGCACTCACACAAGTTTACTCCCTGTTCCTAAAATGAAGCAGCTGGGGATTTATTAGACAAACAGACATTATTCTGTTCCTAGTCCCTGCAGTTAGTAGGTCAATGACTCATTAGCCATCCAGTCCAGAAGTCAGTTTGCTGGTCAGATCAACAGTCAAAGTGTTTGCTCTTCACTTTACAGGTTGGTGAGTCATTCTGCCATGCATTTGGTGAGATAATCACCAAAAGAGATGAAAGCGGAAGGAATGGTACTGAGGAGGAAAGATAATGCTGCACAGAAAAGCAGAGAGCTCAGAAGGCTTCGTGGAAAAGTCAGTTTGTGGTGAGAATAAATACACCATCCAGTCCACTCTTCCATTCTGTCATAGACTCAATATTTCAGGAAATGAAAGCATGGTTTCCTGTTTGTTGGCAACTGGCACTGGCCTATTTCATAATTTTTAAGACTCTCCATCTGGTCTCCATGTGATCTTAGACTGCTGACTAGCCAGTCAGTCATTCCACCTCTCGTTTTCTCTCTTCCCGCCCCTCCCTTGTTTCTTTCTAGTCCTCTCCCAGGTCCTGCCCTAGTGCGCCCAGAGCTGCCAGGGGAGGCCACTGATATGAGACAGGAAACGTCTGTCAAACTAGTGTTGACGTGTCTTAAAACAGCCTTCACTTGTTAAATGAAAACCCACCCCAACGCAGAATGAATGGTCATAAATCAGTCGAAACATCTTGAAATCACATCACCGATGTTCTTTTCACAGGTCTGCATCTGTCACCGCCACACAGCTGGTGAGATGTCAGAATGCATTCAACTGAAACCTGAAGTAACAGATGATGTTACTTCCTGAATCCCAAGTGAAGCAATGCACTGTGAAAAATACTGTCTAAACACAAACAAGCATGCTGTTCATGAGCCTTAGGTCTGCTACACTGACACATCAGATGCTGCGATGCACTTGCAAACACACTCAGCAAACAGACAATATGCCAATCTCTGCCTGTCGCAAACACACATACAATTACCAGTTAGCAACCGGCTAGTTGTTAGGCAACACAAACACAAAAAGTCTAAGCTAATATCACAGTGGTGATACTATGGTTATGCTACAATCAAATGTGTGCAACCTGGCAGCTTGTCTGGCATCAGATTTTCACAATGACAAGGGGAACCCCCTGACAAGTAAAAAAAAAAAAACTTGGGTGTGTACAGTACATACTTGCATGACTCTAATTCACTGAGCCATAACCAAAAGAGAAGAAGAGTAAATATAAATCCTGACGGTAGGTACTTTGAAAATACTTTTCCTCCTGCAGCTTTAGGAAATCATTTTACCAGAGTTGGTTCAGCTACATGAATAGCAACACAAGCTGTTTGAAAAGTAGAGTGTTTGCATAAGAATGATTAACATGACTGCAATGTTAAGGTACAGGTCCAAAGAAGTTAGGACAATTAAGTGTAATAACAAACCTCTACTATAAAAATAGAGACTGTGTCATGTTCCAAGTGAGGATCTTGAAAAAGGTGTCAGGAAGCCAGCTGCTCAACATCCTTTCATTTCCTCCCTTTGATTGTTCTGTCTCTTTAGCCATGCTGCTTCCTTTGGCACCCACTCCAGCTGCCTTATATGGTAAAACAACCTATGGAGAAGGTTTGTAGTGAAGTATGGGGGAGACTGTGACAGCAGGCACACACGCACACATATTTTAAAGACACTGCACGACACGTTGCTGCTTTGTTATCAAGCTAGCTTAATATATATCGCTAGAGCTTTCAAAGAGGTGACTGGTATTCCAACAACCACTGGGTATTTCACAGCTGCCTTGAACCGGTTTGTGCCTTGCTAAAGGGCATTTAGCCACAGTAAACATAAGCTTCTTAACAGAAGTGATTTAGAAAATATTGTTGTGTGTATGGTAAATATGAACCTTCATAGAGCATACTGGTGGCTATAGCTGTATTTTTACCACACAGACAACAGAGCGGTGTCTATTGTGTCATCCAGCTCTCAACAAGAAAGCAGCAAGTGAATTTCAGTCAGAACTATGTGGCTATTCTCAGGGGCATCAATAAGCCACACAAACTAAAATACAGGTGGGTACGATGAAGCACTAGGGCCACATTAACGGAAAAAAAACTAATACTCCATGGCAGATGGGTAGTGAAAGGAAAAACCGACAAAGTGTCTTAGTAAGATGCTGTGCTACCACTGGAGGGATGGACACCATTCTTCCAAAAGATATGCCCTCATTATGGGAGAAGCTGTCCAACATGTTGGTCCAAAATCTGTTCAATTGGGTTGAGACCTGGTGTCTGTGAAGGCCAAAGCAAATGATTTATTTTCATACACATCAAACCATGCAATGACCCCTTGTGCCCTTGATGGGGGCACTGTCATCCTGGAAGAGACAACAGGCTGTCTACCTATTGTCCACTGGCCTCTGCTAATGTAAACAGTTTACATCCTGACCTGAGGATACAGCACAGTTCTACTGGGAATGACTTATGAAAGTCCTGGTGTATTGCATGTATTAGAGACGGGATCAAGGACAAGTGAAAAAGGGATCTAATTGTTGGCTGATTCCAGGGCAGTGGACTAATGAGCTTCAAAATGGGGTTGAGGGGAAGTCATCCCTCATGCAGCTGCTTGCTACTCTCAGTGTGAATGTGTGTGTGTGTGTGTGTGTGTGTGAGAGAGAGAGAAAGAAATCAAAATGTGTAATTTTTGTTTCATCATAAAGATTTTGTATGCATAGAGTGTAAGCCAGCCTGTCATGAGGCGTGATATGTAAGAGAGGGTCATTAAACTCCCTGACAAGTATTGTGGTGATCTCTTCCTTTGCACAGTGGAATTTGTCACCATTTTTCTAGTGTCTGTGTAAAACTGCCTTTGACACATCCACAGATTATAAACGAAACAGCATTTTTCAGGAGACTTTCTCGGACAGTTCTTTGATTTGTTGGAAGTCTTGGTGACAATTTTTGGGAACTGGAAAAGGTGTTAAACTGTGTGGTCTCTGGACAAAGAGAAAGCAGGTGACCCTTAACCACCACAAAGGTCAAGTTAGCAATGCAATAAAACTGTTTATATGGTTCTTTCAGACAGAATGAATACCGTTTCTGCTCTGCAGCACTAGCACTGACATAGCTAACAGATACAGAGAGCCCACTTTGACAAAAGCATTTTCTAAGTGCCTCATTGGCAATGCATTGGATTTGAGATGGTTCACAAACTGCTACATGTTATATACAGTAAGTGCTACATTAAATACTATTATTTTTTTAGGTACTACTTAATGGCAGTATATCAAATTTAGCTCCACTAGCACTGTCTGCACAAATATATCCTTCTCCTCTCTTGAACTAGAACCCGCAGCCTTGGCCTGCATGATGAGCGAAGCCACTAACATGGGAGTGTTCTCCAAAATGCCAGGTACTGCCAAAAAGTATCAACATGTGGCAGTTATATTTGTAGAGTTGAGCTATACCCAGGGAGCCTGTCCAAAGAAAACAGTGAAACCAGGAAGTAAAGCCTTCTGCAAAATTTGCTGGAGACAGCCAGAGGCCCATACGAGAACCTTGCAGCCTACTGCACATTACAAATTAGCAAACAGATGACACCTTCAGTTGATTTGAACTGATGAGCTGAGGAAAGTTGTGCTTAAAATAAGTAGTATTTCTAAATTACATCCTGCAGTTAACTTTCAATAAGAGATGTATGATAAAATGTGTACAGTTGTCTATAAAGAAAGCAAATACATTTACCAATTTCAATGCAAATGACATTATGGTGCAGCAAATACAGGAAAACGGACAGCAAACCAGTCTACACAGACAGCTGACCCACACTGCCAAATGAAGCATAACTTCAAGTAAACTTCCAAGAACAGATGTAAACATTTGAGATGGTTTTCTATGTTAAACTTGTTGCTGAAGTTGTACATCAGTAACTGGAACAGAGCATTAACTATTGTAGAAAGTCCACCCCACAAACCCTAATTTTCCTGTTGATCAGGACTGAAGCCCAGGGACAGGAAGTGTTGGGAGTAGAAGCACAGGAAGTGCTGGACTAGAGTCGGTTGATGACATCCTGTGAGGGGCAGCCGGCCGGGGGAGGGAGGTGAGGGACCTCTGCCCAAACCTAATAGTTCAGTGGAGGCTCCCACTTCCCTTTTTAATCTGGTTTAAGATATGCATCAGCATACCACAAACTATTTCTGCATAATATGATGTGATGTATTCACAACCATCATGGCAACCATTATGAATACCACAAACTATTTCTGCATAATATGTTGTGATGCAGTCACAACCATCATGGCAACCATTATGTTTTCTGATAACAACATGACTACTGATCAACACAAATGTTTTACTTTTAAGCTGCTAATTCTGTGTTTTGATGTCTTTTATTGTTTTACTGATGATGTTTTTGTCATTTGAGTGTTTTTCATGAATCAAGTCTTTGGTCTCATAATAAAAATACTGAAACATGTATGGCAGAAGCAAAAGTGGTGTCTCAAATTTTGCTTCTGCATTATAAAAAGCTCTGTGCTGCTCACAGAGGTAAAAGATTACCTCCTTTGGCCCGAGTCTTGACCCTGAACCATCAACCACCACACAAATACAGTAAAACCACTGTGAAACCTGAACAGCTCACTGAGACTAATGGACATAAATAAAATACATCTAAGCAGATCAAATGAGGGTTTCAAGATGTTGTCATGTCTTTGAAATTTGACAGAACTTTAAAGCATTACTGAGCAGCTGAGTCACATCTCCAGGGATGTCAAAACCATATTAGGAATAACACAAACCAATTACTTTTAGTTTTCAGGGAGAGATGTGGCCACGTGACCATCCATTACCTAAACACACTCAGCAAGATTTCCGTTTTGATCTCCCGGTGCACCAAAGAATCTTTTTAGGAATAACTCCAGGTTGCCCTAATTATTCACATATGAAACCACACTAACCTTGGCACACAACTGCACTGCTCTGTTCGACTCTGAATGTGCATGGGGTGATATGTGTGACAGCTGAAACCGCTTTGACACATCAAAACAAGGAAGCAATGGAAGAACTTGTTCCAAAATGAAACATATCCACTTTGAAGATAAAAGACTATGTTACCCCTCCTTATTTAGTACTCATACACAGTATAGTGCATTTAATAACTGGTCTTCATAACGCACTCTAATGCAGCTTTAAGTCTTTAAAAGCTCTTAGTCTCCGACTGTGAAACATCCATACTTGGATGCACATAGTGTAACTAGGGCTGGGCGATGTGGGGGAAAAAGCTTACTACAATAATTTTTTCATATCAGTCAATGTCGATATATATCACGATATGAATCAAATCACTATTTCTGTCAAGCTTAAAGGTTCTTTTCTGTCTGTTGTTGCGCAGGTATCACACTGGTTGTTTTAGGGGGACCACTAGCACTCGCTTGGATCTGGGACTGTAGTAGTGCATTGTGTGTGCTCTAGAGGTAGCACTGCCTCACATGGTACAAGAGATTAGTGGTATCACCCGTCTTTGTGGGACCACGCTTTTGACACAATGTGCAGAGCACACTACTTTGCTTCTTGTCACACTTTAAATAACCAAAATTTCTTCACACTACCAAATTCCTTGGACCCCTCTTTTCAACAGTATCCTCATCTTTTGAGGCCTGGGCTGTATCCCTTGGGGTGTCTTCTTCGGTAACACCGTCGCTCGAGATTTCATTAATATTTTCTGTCGTCACTTTAACTTTTATGTTGCTCCCACTCCTGATGTACTGGTTTGCAGTAGCCCAAACATCAGCATGCTTCCTGCTGCTGGCTACTACTCCTACGCTCTGTGCTGTTTGCGTCAATCTAACCTGAAATGGATGTAACTCTTCCAGCTACATGATTGGTTTGGCGCGGCACTGTTCTCATTATAATTGGCTGTTCGTGTTGTCTGTCCAAAAATGAGTGGAAAGAGTTCTGTCGAAGCTGTATCGACCATGTCCTACATTTCTATTGAGGGAAGGTTATTTTGCGTTAATTATCTTTATCATTTTATCGGCCACATTAATAAAAACTTATATATGCTCATAACTACATTACAATCAGCGACACATTACAATTTGTTATATGTTTACATATTGTTTACACATAATAAATGGGGATGGGGGTGTTTGTGGTTGCCATTTGTCTTTTAATATCTCTGAAATAGAAAGGGTGCAGTATGAAAAGAATCTGCTTGTCCAATTTTACACTATCATCTTCAAAGGTGTTTTATAATTTTCAAATGGTGCATATATTAAAGTGTAACTCTTAATCCTCAGTTAACTTCTGATTAAAGACTCATGCATGTGCCACTACCTTCGGCCCTTAAGCAGTCACTGTACTCATGCCCACTCCCTTACATACTGTAAAAAAGGAAATGACACAGTAGCCTCATTTAACATCAGAAATTAAAAAGAGGTGTGTGTCTTACTGTCCCATTTACTACATCATTTACCACTTCAGTGTTTCTGATTGCCTGCAGGTCAGATGTAAAAATTTTACTGAACAAAAGGACATTTATAGGCCATTAAATGAAATGTAAAAAAGACATCCCTCAACCAATCACCACAAAACTTAATGTTAAAATCATGCTGCTTTTTGTGTCTCAGTAAATTAGTGATAAACAGACAACTATGGCCTCAAATGTACAGATTGTAATTCTTTTAAACAATGATTAATGATGCCACTGATATGAACATACAACATGTATAGCTGAGCAAACACCCATTTGTCAAATTAAAAGGTTGCCTTGTTACCACAAAGGCAGTCTATTCCAAAGGAGTAAATCCTACAGCAGCTGCCATATCTTTACTGGCACACCTTAACCCACACACTCTCCTTAAATCTTTCTACTTGTCATTAACCAGCTCCTCATAAAGCAACATGTGAAACAAGTCAAGACTGTACTACTAAGCATGCTCTCTACTGTCCTGTGTGACGTCATGCAACTCGGAAGTGAGCAGAGGCAAGAGACAGACAGGTGCCAGGGAAAAAACTTGAGTCACTTTGAACAGCCTCATGTGCATAGTTCGAGAAACCACACAGCTATGGTACTTCAGTAATGACTTGCTCTAATTCCACCTCGATTGTGTAACTGCTACTGACACCGAGTATTGACTAAGTGTGTGTAAGATACACTTAGCTCACGAGACGATAAGATACATGATAATGGGTTCACAAGAACAATATGAGATTATATTTTAACACTTTTTCTTTTTTCAGAAATCTAGGTACTGTAAAAGGCTTTGCCACAAACTCAAGTGACTGGCTTCTCTCCTGTGTGATTTCACATGAGGCTCTTCAGACCTTATAACTGTGCATGAACTAAGCATGAGCTTCTACCTTCTAACTGAAGCTCAGATCTTCTAACTGAACTCCTTTCCACAAATTGAACATAGAAAATAGTGGAGGCATCTTCTGTGCTCACACTCCATCATGCCTGCTGCTGCTCTGGTTCTGTTATGTACTGATATCCTGAGACAGAGACAATGAATATCATCACGTTTTAATATCACCATCTCATAGTGCAACGTCTTGTGACACCCCTAGTGTTGACATGTAAACAGCTCTGCAACAATTCATTCATTCATTCATTCATTCATACTTGATTACTCTACCGATTGTTTGGTTTGTACACTGTCCAGCCCAGGTTTCCAAGGCCCAAAGTCTTAGGCCATCTTCTTTTGTCAGAGCAACAGTCCAAAAGAAATTCAGTGTACTACCATGGAAGGCTACAAAAAAACTAGAAAATATTCACATATGAGAAACTAAATCCAGTGAATTTTTGCCATTTTAGCTTTTAAAAATCCTTAATTATTACTGATTCATTTTCTGCTAATTGACAGTCAGTTAAGCGACTAATGGTTCCAGCTGCAGCTGAAAATGGCACATTTCAGTGTTCCTAATAACAGGGCTGGCGCACTTCTAACTCTGTGCCCTTTCCTTTCCTATCATCTGTGGAGAGAGTGTGGCCTGGTGGTTAGGCCTTCTCCCAGCTGGCACACATCCACCCTGCTGAAGTGCCACTGAGCATGTTATTAAGAGCATGAAAAGTTAATTCCCCTGGAGAGTAACAGCATTATCTCATTAACCTAAACGCTGGCAGCTGTACAAGCTAATGAGTAGTCACAACTGTGATATAATCTATAAATGCTGACAAGATTCATAAGAAGTGATTTGATAGACAAACCTAAATTTGAACAATTGGTTCATTGCTGTCTACGTGGTCCACACTTCACAGTAGCTGTACAGCGGCCTGTAGGTCAGACCGCACCGCGCATGCGCAAAGACCTGCAGGAATCCAAACTTTTTTTCAGTGGAGACCAACGCCTTGCATTGTGGCACGATCATACACCCGAATGAATCAGTGACATGAACTAATTAGATTTTCTTCTTAGCCTGGGAGGTGAATATGACTAGGCAGACATTATTTAATCAGCCTGACAGGTGAGAGCTGAGCGGGTTGGAATAAAGAGAAAGACGTAAAAAGAGAGAGATTGTCTCACTTTCTCTCGAGTCTCCCGTTCACCGTCCAGCTCTCTCTGTAGGACCTGCGCCCGGTCCTCTGCGTCGTCGGCCTGCTGCTGCAAACACTGGATCTTCCTCTTCACAGCTTCCAGAGAGTTCATACCAGTACCTGCCATTGTTGACTCTTTTGTTACCTAAGACTACACGTAAGGGGAAAATAGTTAAGACTAGTGGATTGTGCAACAGACGTAGGCTGCTGGCTCCTGCTTATTTGGTCCGTTCAAAGTAGTATTACAATAAGAAAATGACTTTGATCGTTGATTCTGAAATTTAAACTATCGGTGTCCGTCCGGTCCAAAGTCTTTGGAATGTAGGAGTCGTTCAAGTACAACAAAAGTTATATAATAACAAGGAAGCGAGAATGTCCGGATGTTCTCCAAACGTTTCTTCTATATAGACTGAATGTAAAGTTCATGAGCGGTAATAGAAGTTGTCCTCAGGAATGTAGCAGTGTCGATCCGGACACTCTCGGTTTGAGGAGGACGATTAGAAAAGCTGCGCGGTGAGGAGAGCAGAGAGCGCCAGATTGTGTCGGGGGAGGACAGAGATGATGAGGTCAGCGAGGGCGGGGCGTCTGCTCTGGTGCTTCCTACATCATGAGGACTGAAAAGGGTTTTTTGCTTCATAGTGAGGACATTTATGGAAAGTGAGGACAGGTTAGGGTAAGGGTTATGGTTAGGCATTTAGTTCTGATGGTTAAGGTTAGAATAAGGGGCTAGGGAATTCATTATGTCAGTGAGTGTCCTTACAAGGGTAGAAGTACAAGCATACGCGTGTGTGAAACACAGCGCGTGTGTGAAACACAACGCGTGTGCGTGTGTGAGAGAACTGATCCCTGTGACAGATGTGATCACTGCTGTGAGGCTTCAGTTATTGTAAAGTCCCAGGGACCATAGTTTAGATTTCACACACACACAAGTGTCAGCCACTTTCCCTTTACTGGATTATGTCTAAAAGTTTCCACCTTGCATGACAATATAATATATGTAACTGTTTTGTCCCCAACATTTCACAGAGGCTAGTCCAGTGGTTCCAGGCATGGAAAATTTCTTTCTTCAACTTGTCTTTAATGTTTCTCTTTTCTTACATTTTTGTTCTGTCCTGCTTTATGATTAGTGGCTGTGGCTCAGGAGGTAGAAAGGGTCATTTCCTAACCGGAAGATTAGTGGTTTGATTCCCTACTTGTCTAGTGTACATGTTGAAGGTACATAATAGACCTTTTCCACTGTAGGAACCTACCAACCTGTAAAGACATGTATATTCCTTCTGCTGGGTTATGTTTGGGTTCAGGTAAGGTTCGGACACATAGGTCAAACTTTAGACTAGACGAATGGAGCATTCAAATGTTTGCTTTGTTTAACAAATCACCATACAAACTCAACTAAATCAGGCTCAGGTCAGGCTCAGACATTATATACTATAAGCTTGTCAGGTCCAGGTTGGGTTCAGACACCACACTCTCGGACATGGGTCGGGTTCAGACAGAAATATGCGGCCCAATCCATGCTCTACTGCTCGCACTCTCTGCTCAGCAGTGAGTGTGTGTGTGTCTGTGTGTGTCAGGAATGCACACAGAGACTCTTTAGTGACTCTTGAAATATGACGTATTCATCATAAATGTTTGTTTTTGATGTGTGCCATCATTGTGCCAGCATTGGCCTTTAGGGGGAAAACAAATTAACAAACACAATCTATCACCTGCTTGCTCACAGCTGCTGTCCGTCATGTTTCTCTGCCAGCCCTGCCTCTGTTTACCCTCACTGTTTTCCATTCACATGATCGGCCTGAAAGCAAACATGTTTGGTTGAAGGACAGCTCAGATCAGGCTTAGCTCAGATTCAGTCCAGTTGTTCAGTGTGAAGAAAAATAATCACTCTCAAAATTGATTGTCTCCATTTGATTTGCTCATCGCGCCGGAAAAGCTGGAAGCCTTGATTTCATTAGACAGGAGAGTGTCGTTTTCTGTTTGCCTTAGCTGCATTCCTCACATACCAGAACCCCTCACCCCACCTGCTCTCTACTTTCTCTGCCAGGCTGGCCCCAATAGAGGTTTCCCCCAAAACAGCAACTGTTTCTAAGAGTACATGGTGCCACACCTTTATCTGTCACATCATGTGGGCCAGTACTGCAATTAAAAGACAGACTCCATCTGATTACCGGGGGCTGGCAGTGCACTAATAGTCAGTGGTGTGGGGGCTGTTGTTTGTGAATCATAACTGCTTGCTTGTTGGAGTCTTGGGCTCAGTCTTCTGCTTTCCCAGCCCCCTCCAGGTTTCTGACTCGGTTGTGCTCTTGGTTGTGTTACATGAGGAGGAATTTTCATAAAGAGCAGCTTTACTAGTTCGACCTGTGTCAATGTGAGGGACGTCACTTTAAGTATGTTATAGGAAACATCTAGTTTTTAACAAAACTCCAGGTGCTTGAGTTGTCTTTGCACACGCAGGGCACCAAAGAGTGGAAACTACAGAACTGTTCTCAGAATTTATTTTAGCAGTGTGAGAGGACTATTCAGCGTGGCCTCCTTGTCTGTGCGGCAGACACTTCCTTTCTCTTTGTGTGTAGTACAACACTGTGTTTCCCTGGGATATCCTCCACAAGACCTAATAGCACAACTTGGTGGAAGCTGAGAGAGTTTTATTTAATAGTGCTCCTCTCTCTGCATATGGTTTGTTCAGTAGTCTCACAGGAACAGTATTCTAAGCTGTTATTAAGTTGCATTTCACTGCTAAACTGGCATAAGCAGTATTTTCTCCTCATCTTGAATGTAACTGAATCTCTAATAAGGACTTTGTTCAGATCTTATTCCCCTCTCTTTCTCCTCCTCGCTCACACACATGAACACAGGGACACAAATAAGCTCACACGCCTTTGCACACATGCTAAAATGCTAGAGGACCTGCCACTGCCAAACAAACAGCACTGTGGTTTGTGGTGTTGCCAACAATCTAGAATATGATCTTTTCCCCCAGATTGCAGATGATTAGCCACAGGAGAACTGCATTTTCTAATGTTCTGCTACATTTACTGTAATGTACTACTTATGTACACAGAATTATTCTCATGGCATTGAGATCTGCTTTAGATCTGAAGCAGAAGACAGTCATCCTATCAGTGGTGGAAGAAGTGCTCAGATTCTTTAATTAAGTAAAACTACCACAGTGTAAAAATGCTCTGTTACAAGTAAAAGTCATGCATTCAAAATGTTACTTAAATACAAGTGCGAAAATATTAGAATTAAAATCTACTTAAAGTACTAAAAGGAAATGTAATTTTTATGTAGACTGGTTCACATTAATGTCTCATGTCTATTAATGTCTATAATTTTAAATACCTTATATGCTTATAATTTGACATTCTTTACATACTGCTGGGGAACTTGTGAATTTTGCACTGAGAATGAATAAAGTCTTATGTTTATGCAGTATTTTAGTACAAAGTACAATATTTTTCTGTGCAGTGCAGTTAAGTAAAAGTATGAAGTAGCAGAAAATGAAAATACTCAAGAAAAGTACTGATACCTCAAAACTGTACTTAAGTGCAGAATTTGAGTAAATGTATTTAGTTTATTATAGAATGAGTCGATATAAGTTTTACTTAGGGTTCACTTAGAACTTTAAAAACGTATCCATCCTGAGTCTAGCAATATTAAATGCACGCAATGCTAAATTAGAGTACTCTTTTACTACTAACTGGGTGAGGGGGGGTTACAGCTTATCTGTTTGCTCATCTTTCAGGAGAGGCTACATAGGAATGTGGCAGTCTCTGAAGTGCTCCAGACCACTCACAGTAGATCAAAGTAAACCCCCAGCTGGTGGTGGCTTAGAAATCGTCCAGCTGTGGAATAATGGGCCTTAGTTTCCAGTGGTACTATGGTAACGTGTCAGAGTTGTATGTGTGCTTGTGTACCCTGTGTACTGTATGAGTGTGTCAACCTCCACTCACATCTGCAGCTTTCTTCTCAGACAGTTCCAGTTTCTCCTGAGCATCTTTCAGACCCTCAGAGAATTTGTCCAGTTCATCCTCGGTCTGCTTCAGTTTCTTCTGGAGGTCCACCAGCTCCTCCTCTAGCTACAACAGGAAACACCATTAGTCACTTCACAATGCTGGCTCTGCTCTGTCTCTGTTCGCCCAAATTCTATGGTTCTTTTCCTTCACTTTTTCCCAAGTATAACAAGAATATTTCCTGTGCATTTCTGCCATAAGGAGTAGGCATGTATTCTGTTCTGTTCCATGGCATTACATTACACTGGGTGTGTCTGAAATCACTCCTTAGTCATTTTATATTTCCCTTTATAGGGTCTGCACCGTTTTGCAGAGGTGTCTGGATGCTGAGTGAGCACAATTGACTATTGTGCATTCAAAAATGAATTCTGCAGTGGAATGTAAAAATTAGTGTCCACAGCATGTATGTGACTTTCTGCTAACAGTCCCACAATGCAATGCTCTGCTCTTAGTGATATTGCAAAATGAGTATAGTATCTCAATTTACTGTTCACTATTGCGTGAACTACTGAGTGTGCATTACATGGGGAAAAGTGAACGTGTGGATGAAAAAGTTATTTTGAACACAGTTGTTATTTTCTGTTCCATCCTGATCTGTCCTTTTCTGTTCTGTTTTGTTCTGTCCTGTTGTACATATCTCTGTTCTATCGCTCTGCCCTGTTCTGTTCAGTTGTTCTCTTCAATTCAGATCAGTTCAGTTCTGTTCTTTTATATGTTAGACTATGTTCTGTTCTATCTTTTTGTGGGATTCTGTTCTGTTCTGTTGTATTTTAGTCATCTGTATTGTTCAGACAATTTCAAGTTACAGTACATTTTCTGTAACATGCTGAAACAATCCTGTTTTTGATAACCCCTCCTAAATAAAAAAAAATCTCACTCTAACAAAAGTTAATGCACTGAACAAGTTTTGTCCTCAGAACTTTCAACAACTTAATATGAAAATGTTTGTTGATGAGCATAATGATGGATCATATTCATTAGTGGGCTATTTCTTTTTATTTTTGCTGTGCTATTACTGCATTGTATCTCACCTTGTTTAAATTCAGGCTACTGATAACGCAGCTGTGGCTGATTTGGGAGTCTATTTGTGTTCATGATGTTTGGGAACATATGAATGGTAATGGTTTCCTATCAGTCTCTCATGACATGAACACTGGTATGCAAAGGTTAGTCCTCTCTCTTGTACACACACACACACACACACACACACACTCAAAGGGCTAAGTGTTCCCCCTAATCAGTGTCCCCTTCTGAGTCCCTGAAGTACTTCTGATAATCCTCTTGAATTCCACACTGTCTTTCTTTCCTGGTGTCTAAAAATACTGCTGTTATCAGTGAGCACATACAGACACCTGGGACCTTGAGCCTAACGTGTGTTTGTGTGTGGTTAATATCCCATTTGTGTGTCTACATGTATCTATTTCCATGATTATTATATGTGTTGGACACACCTGTCAAATAGGCTTCATGACAGACATCTACTCAGACAGATGCTCCATTAACGCTCTGTAAACTGTCCCCAAAGGGAGGCATGTA